GTCACCTTCTGTAAGGCCTTGTAATGATTAAGAGATCTTGCACCTTTAAACTCTTCCATCTTTTGCCATTTACCTTCCAAGGGACAAACCTTCTGTTGTCACCTAAAAAGTGTTAGATTTCCTGGTTCTGAAGTGAAGTAAAGTAGAAAAACACCCTCACCAAACACACTGAATCCTCAGGCTGCCTTCCTGGGCCATATATATATATATAACACAAGTATATATATGTACTTGTGAATATCTAACTTCAGTGGCAGGGGTTTGCTTTGCCATGGGTTAGCTTTTTTCCCTCTGACATTCTTTCGTTGACTGTTCATTTTTTTCTAAAATGACTCTGTCATTCAGGAAAGAAGGCAAGAATAGACTGCACTAGAACTTCCACTGTCCATTCTCACGCTTCATCACATTACTGTTTAGAAAATCCTTTTAAGAACAGATTTTAGTGCCTAATATCAGCCATAGATGCTGAGGTTTATGAACTGCATTACAAGAAACACAAATTTGAAAGGGAATTGCTCATGTGACTTTTTAAGAGCAAAGGATTTCCTTGCTTCTGTTGTGACTGATGGTTTGTGCAATATATTTGTTATTCTGCATTTTACAACACAGTTTTGTTGAGTGGTTTGCCAGACCAGGGCGTTCAAAATGGTGAGGCAGGTGCCCCAAATCATGAGAGATACTTAAAATTAATAAGAGTTCGAAGGAAAATAGGAATTTGTGGGTTGTTTCTGAACCCCTCTGATGTGCTCAGTTTGTAGGACATATAAGGCCAGGGAAAAATATAAACACACCTTGCTTTACACAATCAGATGGTTCCAGGTTCTGCCTCTTTTAAAAATATCAGCAAGACTTTCAACAAAATAGTGAGAATTTGGTTTCTGAACACTAATAGTAATCCTTGTCAGTGACACCTTTGCTTTATTCTCCTCAGCAACTGAAGATGAAGCAAGAGAGTTTTCTTTATGTCCAGTGCACACTCAAGAGCCACTGAAGCTGTTTTGTGAGACCTGCGATACCCTTACCTGCCGCAGTTGCCTTCTGACAGATCATAAGGAACACAGGTACCACACACTGATTGCTTAATCGTGATAGTGGCTAGAACTGTAGCTAATTGAGATTAAAGACTTTTCATCTATGTTTTCTGTCAGCTGAGGTTGCAGGCTGATCTGAACTTAAAAGCCGTGGCAAATTCAGTTTAGTTGTCTTATGCCCAAGCGATATAACACAGCTAACTGCCCCCAGAGGCACTCCCTGTTCTCAGCAGTGTGTACCTTTCCCAGTTGTGTTGTCTGCCCAGGTACTGTGCATGCACACATAGAGTTCTCATGATTGTGCTCAAAGGCACAAGTTGAACTCAATACTTAGCGTGGCTCAAATACTTCTGTTTGTCTTTACCAAAGACTTCATGACTGTACAAGACTGGAGTTACCAATGCTTAAATGTGTTACTCAAACAGGCAACTGTGGAAATGTGTGAGCCGTGTAAGGCATTGTTTATATACAGTGACACTTTCTGTGACATGAGCCTGCCCATATGAGGGATGATAAAGTTCAGCTGTCACAGAGGCCATCTGCAATAGGAAAGAAACAGAGCACCATGTCCAGACAGGTATTAAGGCAGCTGGTCCTCTAAACTGATGAACTGATAAGTTGTTTACTTATGAACATGAAAAAAACAAGGTGTGAGAATATCCCCTTCTTTCACAGGTTCAGACATCTTGACGAAGCTCTGCAAAATCAGAGAGTTATTCTTGAAAATGTCATAACTAAAGTGGAAGAGAAAAAAACTGTAATTCAGCTTTCAGCTAAACAGATTGAAGACAGGTAATTGCTATGCTTTTTTTTTTCCCCCATGAAAGCAGGTGATATGCAAAAATATTTTCACTAAATGTAGGTTAACAGAATTAAATGCAGCTGCTTTATTTTTTTTTCTTGTTGGAGGGTAGGAAATAGTAGGAAGATTAAAAATCTCCAATTCATGCTTAAGTGGCAGTGACAAGTCATGGCACTGTGATACATTATTCCATAGTCTTTATAAGGCATGTGACAGCTGACTTCAGAGTTAAGATTTCTTTGTATAATCTGTTTCTGAACTAGATTCTGAAAATATTAGAAATAAAGATAATTTCTAAAATAGCTTATTTCTTCAAGAAACCTCAAAACAATCTGCAATCACAGTCAAGACTAATAAAAAATGAAAATATTTCATTATATGAACTGAATTTCAGTTACTAATTATGCATTTAGTAGCTGTTGGATCTCTCTTCTGCATTTATAAAACCATTTCAAACACCTTGAAAGAGTGCAAATCTATTTATACTTTAGCTAAAGTGAGAAGTTTTTGGATGTATTCTGTGTGTATTTGTTGACAAAAAGATTAATGTTGTTCTTGGCATGATGTTTGAGAGAATCAATCAGCATTAGCATATCACATCCAGAGAGCAATGATCAAGGTTCGGTCTTCAGACGGAGATTAGTGAAAAATGGTGTCCCTGAATTGGGGTCATGACTGTTGAATATCTTCATCAATGACATAGACAGTGGGGTCAAGTGCACCCTTAGCAAGTTTGCAGATGACTCCAAGCAGAATGGTGCAGTTGACATGCTTGAAGGATGGGATGCTATCAGAGGAAACTGGACATGCTCAAGAAGTGGGACTGTGTGAACCTCTTGAGGTTCAACATGGCCAAGTGCAAGGTCCTGCATATGAGGCGATGCAACCCCTGGGGGTTGGAGCATAGAGATTGATGGCAGCCCTGAGGAGAAGGACTTGGGAGTACCAGTGGATGAAAAGCTGGACATTCACTTGCAATGTGCACTCAGAAAGCCAACCATATCCTAGGGTGCATGGCCAGCAGGTCAAGGGAGGTAATTCTGCCCCTCTGCTCTGGTGAGACTTCACTTGGACTACTGCGTCCAGCTCTGGAGTCCTCAGCACCGGAAACATGTGGACCTGTTGCAGTGGGTCCAGAGGAGAGCCACAAAAATGATCAGAGGGATGGAACACCTGTCGGAGTTGGGGTTGTTCAGCCTGGAGTAGAGAAGGCTTCATGGAGACCTTACTGTGGCCTCTGAGCACTAAAAGGGATTTCTAAGAAAGACAGGGACAGATTTTTAGTAGGGCCTCTTGTGATAGGAAAAGGAGTAATGGTTTTAAACTGAAAGAAGGTAGATTTAGACTAGATATAAGGATGAAATATTTTATGATGAGAGTGGTAAAACACTGGTTGCCCAGGGAGGTGGTGGATGCCCCACCCCCGGAAACATTCAAGGCCAGGGTGAATGGGGCTTTCAGCAACATGGTCTAGTTGAAAGTAACCCCGCTTATTGCAGGGGGTTTGGACTAGATGACCTTTGAATATCCCTTCCAACCCAAAAGTTCTATAATTCTATGTTTGAAGAGAAGTGTGGGAGAACTAATGGGAAATGATACAACTTTCGTTGGAGTTCTGTCAATAGCTAGATCAGTTCTTGTAACAAACAGCTATTGAACTGTGAATTAAATGACATACCAGTTGGCTCATCCAGAGATATGTGTCTCTTACCCATAGGTTGCTTGAAGTGAAACATTTGTACAAAAAGGTAGAAAACCAAATCAAAATGGCCAGGATGGTTCTGATGAATGAAATTGATAAACGAACAAACATCCTTCTTGAACATCTTGAAGTAAGTGAGGCTATTTTATTTGATACCTTGGGAAATTAAACTAAATTAAATTTAATCCCAGTACCAATGGAAAGAATATAGACTGTGAGACATATTGTCCCTCTGCTTATATTTTCAAATATTAATCTTTTTTTTTTCTTTTCCTCCATAATTTTATGTGGATAAACATCCAGGACGAAGTGGGAAAATGGTTGAGTTAACCATATTTTCTAATGTATTCACAGAAAATATGTGTACACCTTTTGAGTACTTACAACACAAACCAGCTTCTGGTTTTAATGTTGAATTTGTAAGAGCTCACTAGCAGCACAGTTAATACCCTATTTCAAAAATGATTCTTTGGTCTACTTTCCATAATAACCTGCAGTTTCGACTCTTTCATTTTGGGATGTCCAGTTGAAGTATATATGATTCTATTTTGAAATGTGCTGAGCACAAAAATTGCTGATCAGAATTTCCAGTTCTTGGTTATTCTTGGGTCATTTTAGCAGGTACTGGGAAGACAAGGCACTCAGCATGGGATGGCTACCTTTGGACTTAGATATCTGATTCAAATATGGTTACTCAGCTAAGTAGCTTTGCAAAACAAAGCGAAATGTATGTTCTTGTTTCAGTCGTATTAAACATGAAGTAAATTCAGTGTTCATGTGTTCTGACAACATCTCAGTGTTTGTCTGAGTTATCTATAGCCACAGTTGAACTGTGCATACACTTAAAGTATAGGCACAGTGCTCAGCTGAAGAGCATGTAGGGGCATCCAATGAAATTGGCAGGTGCCAGGTTCAAATCAAACGAGGGCAGGTTGTTCTTCACATAAATGGTAAATAAGTGTGGAACTCCATGCAGCAATATATTTTGCATGGTTTCAAAAGGAATCGAACAAATCATAGAAAAATACCTTGAGGGTGATAATGTAGGTTCTGTTTTTGTGGCTCCTAAATCACAGAGACAGGAAGACTGCTTTGAGGAAATGCTGCATTCTTCCCCTCTTATATTCTTCCTTGGGTGTCTTCTGTTGTGCTCCAGGTGCAAATTTGATCCATCTTCTACAGCTTTCTTGGGTTACATTAGTCTGTTAAACCAAGGCTAGAATAATGCAGATTGTTTGCTCCTGGGGAAATCATTACTCTTCCTGAATTCAAACATATCTCCTGGGTAGGATTTGCTTTCTTTTTATGATTGGTGGTTTAAAGAGATGCCAAAGAACAGTGTTGCTGCAAATAATGCATAATGTCGTGCCAATGATTGTATGCATTGTGTGTGTCTGAAGAATGACAGCTATCTCCTACTGATTCACATTGTTAACAGAAAATCACCAGTGAAAGGAAGCAGAAATTGGAGCAACAACTGCAAGGTGTTGTGGTCTTAAGCAGACAGGTGGAACATGTTCAGAACTTCATCAGCTGGGCTGTGTGCAGTAAAAATAGCATCCCATTTCTCTTCAGTAAAGAGCTGGTAAGATCAATACTTACTGTGCAGCAATTGTAGAACTGTTTTAAGGATTTAATGTTTCTCAAATACAACATTTTTCATGATCTTGTAATGGTGAATAAAATCATCATTCTTTAATTTGTCACCAGATTGTATTTCAGATCCAGCGCTTGTTGGAGACAAACTGTACCACAGACATAGGCCCTCCTCTGAAGATCAGATTTACTTGGGATCCCTCCTACTGGACTAAACAACTGTCCAATTTGGGTAAGAAAATCATAGTAGGCAAGTGCCCAAAGCTAGACTAGACAGACATAGACAATACAGTACTTTCCCTAATAAAGGGCTCTCCTTTTTTGTTTTGGCATCCAGTTTTGAACCTTCTGTCATAGTTCTGAAGAAAAGTTAGTGTGGCTGAACTTTCCTGTTTTACCCTACAGTTACATCAGTTCACCTATTAAAAGACGTTTAGATGTCAGATCCTTTTAGTATCTTAGTGGCCAAGGGACCTGAGCAGTGTTGAGACACTTAAAATTAGTAGGCAGAAAAGTGGCTTTAAGACACTGACTGTATAATAATTACAGTGTTATGTATATAACAAATGTGCATACTGTGACTTTGTTTCCCACCATCTATGAATTTCCCAACTGCAGTGGGTTTTTACAGTAAATTCAGTTCTGTGGACTGATCGGTGGTCTAAAAGATCTGTTCTCTACCCATTTTAAGATATTAAAAACTAGATGGGGTAAAACACTACCAAAAGTCTTGGAGAGAGTAATCTTCTGACTTAATGCATGGACAAGATAATTTCACAGGTCATGTCTATTTCTACCTTTTACAAGTCTCACCTGTATAACATCAATCTCTTTTATTTTTGTCACTTTCACCCTGGAATTTCTCTTTTGTACCTGTGTGTATGGATGAGAAGATAAGCTCATACTTTAGTAAAAAATGAAAGTATAAGCCATATCCAAGACAAAATAAGTGAAGGTCAATTTTTCAAAGCGTTTGCTGGTAATTCAACCATGAGTTCCACTGACATCAGTGGGAGTTTGGTGTGACTGGAAATCACTGAAAAAATATTGATAAATTTGTCTTGAAGATCTGTTGACAGACTGTTTAGATAGGATATTTTAACATCTTTTATATTTGAAATGTAGACAGGGAAATGACCATCATTCACTATTTTTATTGTGTAAATTTGTCAAGACCATAGGAGGGAGTAAATTTGCTGTTTATTCCAGGAGGTTTCACAATGGAAGGTGAACACATTTCTCACTCGGATGTGCTACTCTGTGGAAACATTCAGGAGTTACAAACCTCTCTCTGTCATGGGCACCATTCATCAGCATCACAGCTGGTGCCTGTGAGTACCCAGTCACATCAGTTTCCACCTGTGGTTCAGAGTTCTGCACCTGTGTGTTGCTCTCACTGCCTCAGCATTCCTCACCCAAACAAGTCTCAGCCTTCATACCAAGACATAAACCGCCATAAAAACTTTCAACAATCTCCCGAATTGCACCAGCAGCACTTTCCTCTGCAGTACAGCATGCAGCAGCATGACAAAGAGCAAAGGGCCCCCCAGCCTGTGAAGCTAACACATACTGGGCAGGAACAACATTCTCTGTCAGAGCCAGAGAATGTGTCCAGGAGATTGGGAAAGCCCTTACCATCCCAGCAGCCACAGCAAGCTGCACCCCCAGGTTATGCTGTTGTATCACATGAGGCTCAGCAGATTCACAAGAGCCATCTGCAGCCATTGCACACAGAGGCATCTCTGGAGACATCAACTGTGCAAGTGCAACTCGGTCACCTCCAGAAGATAAAATCTAACCACTTGGTGCAGCCACCTCCGCAGCAGCAGCAGCAGCAGCAGCAGCTGCCACTAGCATCACCACTTCCAGGTCAGAATGAGAACACCCACAAACAAGTCATCCAACAGAGCCTAGACATCATGCACCACCAGTTTGAACTCGAGGAGATGAAAAAGGATCTGGAGCTTCTTCTGCAGGCGCAGGGACAGTCCAGCTTGCAGCTGAACCAAGCCAAGCCACCTCAACATGTCCAACAGACCATAGTTGGTCAAATCAACTACATAGTGAGGCAGCCAGCCCCAGCACAGCAACAAATCCAAGATGAAGCACAAGTAAGTTCTCTAAAAGTTGTTCCCCATTGTGTTTCCTATTGTGTCAATGTAAGCTCAGAAATGAGAGACACCTTTGAGCTTTCGTGTATTTCTTTGAACTTTCTGTTGTTGACTATGTATGCAGCAGAGGCTTCATGCCTGGTTGCAATTGGGCCAAAATTTTCAGTAAAGTAGTGCATAAAAACCTGGATAGACAAGGCAAGCAGCATGTGTGAGAATAAAAGCACCATCATTCCTCCTTTGTAAGTAGGTAACTGGAAGACTGCAGTAGTCTCACTCTCCATTTCAACTGTACTTTACCAGAAACTTTAAGCCCTGTATCCTTGAAAAATATTTGATTCTGAATTATTATTGAAAAGAGAGTGAAGACAACTATTTTTTGGTCTGAGAGTTATTTGCTGTTCTACTAGTAACTGCTCTTGCTGCTGCACCATGTCCTTTGAGATTTGCATCAGCATTCATACATGTTGTTCTGCTAGTTTTGTCAGCAGGGCTCATTTCTCCCCCTTTCCTCTGTCACTAAGAGTCCTGCTTTTGAAAGAGGGACAGTGCTTGGTGGTGAGCACCCAAACTGCAAGGCAAATAAGGTGCACAATAAGTTGTCTTTGAAACTCATCCAAAACAGTGAGGATTACAGCAGAAAGTGGTCTTTGACTTTCCCATTGTGTAAACTCTATGGGGTTGCCACCTTGAATAGTTCTGGAAGTGGATTACCTGTAAGGGCAGACTGCAGGCTTTGTGAATAGCTGTATATTTCAGCAACTTTACTGATAGGTTTTGGGTTTTTGGTAATTCATTAATGTTTGGAAGAAATCTTTCTCTATTCATTTATCTGTCTCCTTAGGGTTAAACATGTCTGTTGTTTTAGAGTCATTCTGGACTTGACATAATATGAATGCTGTGAGTGGATGTAAATTTCTTACCATTTTTCTTTCTGAGATGTTGAAAGCACAAATGCTTAATTGTGATTTGTAGGTCTGTGAGAGCTCCGCAGAATCTGATGCCCAGAAACCTGTAATTCCTCTTGCTAAAAGTGATAGTCCCTCCCTGTCACAGTCACTAGATGAAGAAACCAGCGTCCACAGTCACTCCCCTGAGAGCACCCTGAAGCAATCAGCCTTCCGTCCAGTGAGAAAGGTATAAAGAACTTTTTCTCAAAAAGCAATTTTAAAGGGTGAACATGATTTAATAATATTGAATACAATGTGGCATTGGAATTTGCAATGGGGGGAAAAAGTTTAAATACATTAGAAGTTGAGAAAATGGCTTGTAAATCTTGGAAGACAGTCACAGCCTGATCTCATGTGCATCTCCCAGTAAGGTGCCTACACACTGTGCTGGAGCCAGGATCAGCAGCTGTTCTGTGAGCTGGTAGTGTTTAGGTCTCGCTGGCATGATTGCTAAGCATGAACTGGTAAATAAATAGAAGATCTATTTCTTCACTGTGTAGATGCTGTCCAGCCTGTATGTCTAGGGATTTAACTATTAGGAAGGGAAGGGAGGGGAATGTCAGAGCTGATGATGAAATCCTTCAAAATAGTTGCCCCAGAAATAACAACACTAATTATTACTGAAGGTGTGGTGTCTGAAAGGGATATAATTCTGCTACACTCCTTCTCCTTGTTCATGTATAAGCAGAAAAATCATAGTTTCTGTATCTAGAATATTTTAGCACATAACACAGCCAGGTTTTGATAGGGAGGGGAATGTCAGAGCTGATGATGAAATCCTTCAAAATAGTTGCCCCAGAAATAACAACACTAATTATTACTGAAGGTGTGGTGTCTGAAAGGGATATAATTCTGCTACACTCCTTCTCCTTGTTCATGTATAAGCAGAAAAATCATAGTTTCTGTATCTAGAATATTTTAGCACATAACACAGCCAGGTTTTGATCCTTCCACCTACTCTGAGGCCTTGACCATTGAAGAAGCAGCATAAACAAAACCAGGAAAGCTAATCCTTATCAGTAGATCCTTGCTGGCTCTGGATACCACCTATGCATTTGAAGCAATGCAGCTGCCTTTTACTTCTCTCTACTGTTTGTTTGAAACACTCCAAATAGCACATCATATTCTGTTTGGCACTTTTGTGCATGACTCATTTTGTGTACAGTGTAGAAGTCTTTCATGGATATTTTTTCTTGGAATTTGTGTCTGGAATATTGTGGAATTACTTGTCTTTTCTTACTAGTCTCAAAAATGAAGTTATATTTTCCTTCTTTAGCATATAACTTTGTTGACTGAACATGTTTATGATGCAATACCCATTCAGAGAATTGTTGCAGATCCCTTTGGGAGTTGTAGAGCCATGGAAAGGTAATGACTGCTGAGGGCCTGGAAGCAGCATGCAGATCAGATTTAAAGCCAGCAAAGAAATCTACAATTGCTAACTTAATCCTGTAAATGTACTGGAATTTCTGGATCAGGCTGATGGTATCACAACATTCTGAGGCAGTGATCTTTGTCTCAGAACTGACACATGTGAAGCAGATCTCCCTTAAACTCTGATGACATGGCACAAGACTGAGGAAAGCTATGCAGATTTTCTAGGATAATACCTCTTTGGGAACAGAGGTAAAAATTGATGTGTATTTAAGACCTGAGTGAGACCATGAATCTGAGCACATCCTTTTCTTATAATGTTGGCATGCTTTCAAAGCTATTTGTGAAGGTGAATGGTGATGCTAATCAACTAACTTTCAGAGGCTTTTTCTACATGCATGTTGAAGAATCTGTCCTTTGTCTTCTGGACCTGTAAAGGAAGGTTATTCCCAACCACCTAAACAAGAAAAGTCACAAAGAGGGAAGAAAATGGAAGCAGATTTACAAGAGAGAGAGCCTTGTGGAGTCTAATGGGAAAAGGAGGAGTAATAAAGGAAGAAGGGCTGATTTATTGCTGTAGAAGTTGAGAAGGTGGAAAGAGGAGGATACTCCTAGGAAAAAATAAAGGGAATTTTTCTAATGGTGTTGGGAAGGGTATGTTCTTGTGCAGAAAGCACAGGGTGTCTGTTTTTTTGACTAGTTTCCTGGTACCTCTGGAAGAAATGAGAACATTCAGCAGCTATTGTACCCCATCTTTACTGGTATTCTTCTCTTCTAGTGAGCTGTTTGGGATAATGTAGAAGACATAATGTACTGACAGTTCTGGTAGTGGTTAATTAGAAATGATGAAGGGAAACAACACAGTAAAGGAACCCTTGAAATATATTCTTCATGAATGCTCTTTAAAGATGTCTGACTGCTTTTGCTGACAATTGGATTAAACCTAGGTTTAAATGGTAGATCAGTTCCTGTTTAAGAACAAGGGAATGTATCTATTTATTCTCATCTCTGTTTCACCTGATTAAATATCTTCACACTCATCTCCAGAAAAATATTTCTGCATAGGTGTTTGCCCATTTACTCTCCTATGCCCTGTATTCAGAACATTTAATATCTCTCAGGTTCTTGGAGGACATGGGAAAAGTGAACGTGGACAAATCTGAAATACTGCCCTTGGAAAATATGGTAGAAAAAATTGCTACCTGGGGAAGAACTGGGTTCTGTCTTTAGAAGAATAATCAGTGTTGAACTTGTGTTGCAGTTCTGCTGAACTCCTGACAGCCTTCACTTGGGCACAGCATTCCTAGTGGAGTACTGAATTCTCTGACTGCTGAGATTTTTTCCATTAAAGAGGAAGCAGCATGCACCTAGATGTAGCAGAACTCTGAACTAACTGTTTAGTGATATGTTTGTCAAGACCTGTCAAAAAAAATAAATAATAAAACCTTCCTCAGCTCAGTGGTTTCCTTTATTTTGGAGAGGGCAAAGCTCAATTGCTCATGCAATGAAACATCTATGCATTAATTTTGAAACATGTTTATGGTATGCATTTGATATTACTGACCGATAACTAGATGAATTGTCTGCATACAGGATCATATTTATGTGTGAATTAATATAGAGAAGGTGCTATTAATAGTTTGGGTTTACAACATTACTTATAAATGGGGGTATCACAAGTGTGTTATTCAGATCATCCCAGAGAAGTGCTAGTGCAGCTGCTACACCATGGTATGAGGCACTCATATGCCATGTGAGTGCCTTTGAGATCAAAGAGCACCTGTTGAAGTTACTCTGATGAGTACTGTTTTCTGGCCCTTATATTTAAAGCTGGTTATTGATAAGCAGAAGTAGAGAAACAAGGATGAAACACTTCACACATTTGTAAAATGTCCTTGTGCGTTGCATTTCACCATCTATCGGGACAAAAATTCAATTTAACTTCCCTGTGCAGCAGAGTTTTGGCTTTCCAGTTGTATACAGTAGGGTTAATATTGAATATTGTGTGCTGTTTTGAGCACCACAATGTAAGAAAGCTAGTAAGTTATTGGAGAGTGTTCAAAGGAGGCAACAAAGATGGCCTTGTGGAGAAGTTGTATGAGAAGCAGCTGAGATCATTCAGTCTATTCAGCTGGAGAAGAGGAGACTGAGGGGAGACCTCATCACTGTATACAACTTCCTCATGAAAGGACGTGAAGGGGCAGGCACTGAGCTCTTCTCTCTGGCAACCAGTGACAGGACCCGAGGGAATGGTCTGAAGTTCTGTCAGGGGAGGTTTAGGTTGGGTATTCGAAAATTGTTCTTCCCCCAGAGAGTGATTGGGCACTGGAACAGCTCCCCAGGGCAGTGGTCACAACACCAAGCCTGACAGAGTTCAAGTGACATTTGGACAATACTCTCAGGCACATGGTGTGATTCTCAGGGATGTCCTGTGCAGGGCCTGGAGTTGGACTCAATGGCCCTCATGGTTCCCTTCCAACTCTGTACATTCAGTGATTCTGTTTTCTAAGTGGTGTCAGTCACAGACATGGACACCAAGGCTACTACTGTCTTCAAGTTCAGAGTAATTCCTGTCTGTGCTCACTTGCCCTATATGCACATGTATAGGATAGTCTCTAAACGTGTAACTTCAGGTAGGAGTGGCCTTGTTCTCATTTGTTCCACTGTTTTCGGAGCATTAATGGTGATATTTTGTCAGCCTTTCTGTCTTGTGTATTCTTCTAACTATTCTTTCTCTGTGAATTAATATTTTTGTGCAGAATAAATGTTTCTATACTTAGACCATTGATTGTTTGATATAAGTACTACACTTAGCTTAATTTTTGGCCTTGACTAGCACCTTTTAAGAATGCAACAGAATAAATTAAAGTTTTCTTTCGTTGTGAAAAATGGATATAATTTTCTCTTTACACACCCCTGTCAGTATACTTCACTCATGTAGCCAGGAATTCTGTTCTGGATTGTGAAGTTGTTCCATCTCCATGCCAGTCAAATACCTAACCTCTCCAGTAAGAATTTCCAGCAAGACAGAGAACAAGTTTCACAATTACTTTTGTGATACCTGTGCCTCAGTTCCACAGCATTGTGCCAAGCTCTAGCAGTCAGATTTTACATAAGCTATTGAATTGCTGAGTTGTGAAGGAGTGAGTACTCAATTAGATTAAGAGTTTTGTGGAAAGTTACCAACCTTCTGCAATGATATGGTCCCCTTGTTCCTTTTACATTGTATGATATCAAGTTAATTTGCACATAGGACTGAGTAGGTCATCTCTTCTGGAACAGAGGTGAGAATAATAAGGTATTTTGAGCTTAATTGTGTTTTCAGGTGTAATAAAGGGAATACAAACTCTGTTTTGTTTACACTTACATAATTGTAATTTCTGGCTCTGATGAGCAACAGGTCTATAGGCCTTTCCTGGTATTTGAAGAAATATCATGATTATATTACACCTATAGCACAAATTTGTAGTTTGAGCCTCAGGTACTGCTGCAACAGACATTGGTGTTGTTGCAGGGCCAGCTGAACCTTTCTCCTTCTCAGCCTCTGTAAGTGCACCTCTTTCTGTAGTTTGAAGCAGGACCTTTACTTCTGGGATGGACAATTCCTTGTCCGGTCCAGCTGTTGAGTTGGGTCCTGGGCAGTGGAATATTCTGTATCCTCCCCACTCATCCTAAAAGCCTAAGTGGCTTGAACATGCATGGTTCTGCCTTCTGAGACAGTGCTCAGTTTTGAGTAGATTGGACAGCATTTGGCAAATTCGGATTTGGTTATGTTCCTTAGCAATCTTTGAGGGTTTCTCCCCTTGAGATATT